TATATTGATGATTTGCGTGAACATTTGTATTTATGTTTAGTTTCTATATGTGTGCTAATCTGTAATTACAATTTATACTAGAATTGCAAAGTTTAGAAAAAACAAAATTTTACTCCGTTAGGGACGAACCAGCGGCAGGGGTGGAGGTGAGGAGGTGCGGGGGCACGCAGGACATGCGTGTAGGGAGCGGGTTAGGTTGGGAGGAGATGCAAGGAGTTTGTGGGAGTGAGGAAAGGGACGACCGAGTCCAACGTAAACCTTTTTAATGCGATGGTGCGGGGAGGAGATTCAACAGTTATGGTGGTCCTATGCAGGTCGGATCTAACAGTCCGTAGGCGACCGACCGAGTGTTTAGGCCGGCGCGCCGGCGCGCCGGCGCGCCGGCGCTTAATACCGACCAATTAATTAGCCTCGAGTCTAAACTATTCAAAAAGAACGCCTAGGTCTAGTTAGTTACTCTTATGCGGACGGAGGGAGTATGCACGAGACAAACGAGTTTGGTAGCACTTAACCAAAGCTCAACTAAGAATGGATCGGATGAGTTGCTTTCATCAAAAAATATTCTTAAAAGCAAATCAAAAAATAGAATAGCTGCTTCTACAAGATTATATAGATCCCATCGTGGAACAAGAACAATCCATCTTTTGATAACGCTCCTGATAAGGTTATTCTTTTACTTGTAAACGATGCTACTTTAATTATGAATGAATAAAGGAGGAGAAGTTTATAAAAAAAAACATCTTTTCCACGTCGGCGCCTCTCTTCTTGAACCAAGTTTCTTTTGGGGAAATCTCTAACCAAGTCAACACAAAAGGAGTGATGAGAACATCCGTAGCCCCTCCTTCCCTTCCACCTCACTTAGCCTCCCCGTTTGACCCCTTCCACCCAACACTCACCACAAACTCCCATCACAGATGGACACAAAAAGACCATCTCCCTTTCTTCTCCAAGAAAGATTTCTCATCGCTCAGGTCTCAGCTCACAGCCAGTCCCTGCACCGACCCTCTCCTCCTCGTCGCTCGCGAAACACTGGCTTCCTCTTCTTCTTCTTCCAGCGCCCGAAGCGGCCGCGTAGCCACGTGCCTCGTGCTGGCTCTCCTGGCCGTCAGCCTCAGAGAAGCCTCCGCCGGGCGCCCGCTCCGGCCGGCCGGCGACGCGTCCAGCGATAGCGAGCAGAAGGACCAGGCGATCGTCGACAAGTACGCGCCACTTTTGCCCACCATGCTGCCGAGGGGCCCGGCTCCTCCGTCCGCCCCGAGCGGCGGCACCAACGAGGCCGGGAACTGATTAAGCAAGCACAAGGTTTTGCCGTAGGATGGACATGTCGATCTACAGAAATCGCTAGGCATAAATCATGATTGTTTGAGTGGGAAACGGACATATAGTGTAGGCCTCCAAAACTATACCTTCATTCTTTCGTTTGTCCCTTCAAGTATTGTATTGAAAAAGTACTGTCTTCATCCATTAATTCTTTAAAGAATCGATTGCTCATAATCACCGACTCAAGATGATACTGGCAGCAACGACATCCCAGCTCCTGACCTCTGCAACAACTTTAGAAGATAGGTTTTACTGTCCAAAAAAAATCAGTAATACCATTCTTACCTGAAGAACTTACCCAGGAACAAAAAACTCTACATGAACGCTGACTTGGAGCGATATCGTAGCTCCTCTGGATTTCATCTCCACTCCTCCTGGGATGCTATTTTTCCAAAAGCTCCAACATTAGGCAGGTGCCAACTAATTTTTCTTTTAGACTAGAGTACTGAATGTGTTCAGCAAGAAAATGCTAGTATAATGTATAATTTATATGACACTCTTTAGAGATTATTATGGTTTTCTATATTCGCGGTTATCTAGCTTGTTCTGACAGCTCGCAAAACCAATCGAGTCCATTGGCGAATTGAAATCGTCTGTTGGAAGTTTCAAGGGTATTTTCATACTCACAGCACAAGCAGCCAATATTTTGTACATGACTTAGCAAGCTGCTGTAATTCAAAGATCACTGTTGACAGGTGATTCGAAATAGACCTGGTTCGATCCTGGTATCCAGCCATGGAGAAGGAATACAAAGCAATGTTAGATGTTCGACATCCGACATTTATTCAGTATTTCGGCTGATGTTTATGCTGCTGTGAGAAAAAAGAACGGCCGCCTCCTTTCTTTCACACGTGTCAGCCTCCTTGACATGACTACCAATCCTGAAAGCAGATTTCAGTAAGACTGCAATACTGAAGTTGACCTGCATCTGGTTTTGTGTTAAACCAGATCAAGATTTGGAACATATCCCTCCAGTCTCATCTCATCAAGAAGCATGTTGAGGAGTTGATACATATCCTCCGCACCATGCTGTGGTCCATCCCATGCATAGAATTCAAGAACTCTGCCACTAACCTCAGTCCAGCTGCAACCTGGAATTTTGCTAACACCTCGCTCTCTCATCAGTCCTCTCATCCGTGAAGAGTTATCCAATCTAACTGAGCTTCCATATATCTTTGATGAAACCGCGTAGTTCCACGAGTTTGAGGGTTGCAGCAGCATGATCCTGTTGATGACCCTTGCACTGACCTCAACGTTTTTGCATTTCCGACAAGCGGCAAGCAAATCCCCCAACATCACCGTGTCTGCCTTACTAGGGGTCTTCTCGATGAAATCACGTGCTTATTCTAAATGCCCGGCATGTGCCAATAAATCAACCATGCAGGAGTAGTGCACGACCTTGGGAATGATTATTGGAACTCAAATGTCAAGGAATTGAACCAACGCCGAACGTCTTTTAATAACCCTGCATGTACACAAGCAGAAAGTACTGCTATGGAAGTGGAGTTTTGCTTCAGTACAACCCCCTAGAAAAGTTTACAGATTAAAGATACCCCTTCAAGCAAACATATTAGATTGTTCTGATAGCTTGTTTGACACATTGGGAGATATGGATTAGAATTAGTTGACCGTGAATGTACAAGGATACCCTTTAAAAGTAACTTTAAGATTCGTGTAAACTTTTCGCCGGGGGTGGGGAGGGGGGGGGGGGCTGTACTGAAGCAAAAGAGACCTTTTACGATACATCAGGTTTATTTGAGCCGTTCATTTTATGTGGTTCGATGGCTGAGATGAGCCAATACTACAACAGATTTTCAGTAGTATATTGAGTAGTTAGGGGTATTTTGGGTAGTTTACTGTTTATCAATCGGACAAGCAGGTTCACGCAAGCAGGTCTCTCAATGGCCACCTAATAGATTGAGCGTAGTGAGGCTCCTCGGAGGAACTGAATGTCGGCAGTTGCACGGCTGCTTGCCGCGTTGTAGTCCGGTGTTGCCTAAGGTCGAAATCGATCTCGAGCATATATCGCCGGAAACCTTGGGCTCTGCTGGAGGCCGCACGCTCGCATGGCATCAATCTCTAGCTTAATTCGCCCGCCGTCTTCTACGTCCATCGGCTTGATGAAGCCCAATGCCTCCATACAAAACGGTTCCTTCTCGTTGCCGTCGTCCTTGCCCGGCCGGCCAAGAAGGGCCTACATGTCGGCGGCGAACTCCATGAGCTTAGCATCCGTCGGACCAAAGCTTCCAAGGCTGAATGGGCGTCGGAGACGACGTTGCACTTGGCTTGGTGTTGGGTTCTCGGCGATGTGGTCGTCCTCATCACGGCACGACGCGACGAACGTCGTCGCTTCCTCCAGAGACGACAGCAAGCAGAGCTCCGCGAGGGCGGGATCAAAGATGGGAACGCGGTACAGTAGGTCCTCCATGTCGGTCTCCTTGCACACTTCTAATTCTCCGGCGAGTCCCCACAGGACGCCTTTGGGACGACGAGCCCCTTCGATAGGAGGGCCCTGACACTCTTGCCTGTGAGCCCCTTCGACAGGAGGAGCCTGACGTTCTTTGCCTGTGAGCCTGGGGCCGCGAATGGTACTCTAACCACGCTGCCACGACCTCGTCGCCGCGGCCCGCGGCCCGGGGGAACCACGGTGAAGTGGGCTGCAGACCCGCTCGTGCCTCTACGCGAGGGGGTTCACAGAGTGCACAGATGTCTTTGTGCCGGCGAACTGCCCGGAGATTTTGGATTCGTGTGGCATCAATAGTGGCGGACGAATCGAGCGGCATGGATAGGATGCGATTAAGAAAGAACTAATATAACCCTAACAGAGAATACCAGTATATCCTAAAGCGAAATTTTGATTGATCCATATTGACCATTGGATTAATACTAAATACTACCCACTATATTGGGTAGTATGATGCACCATAAAAAATCTCAAGCAAAACTCATGGAAGTGACATCGTCCGGCCGGAGCCCTTCCCCATTCCTCATCAGTTCAAACTGCAGCACAGGCCCAGATTACCGCTACCAAGGTTATCTTATCAGGACGAGCACCTGTTTGCCGCATGCTGTGAAACCAGAAAAAATGGCTTCCTTTGACATGTCATTCTGCGAGTACCTACGCCATCATACATACCAAACACAAATGATCAGGCCAGATAAGATTACTTACATTCATCGGAGATTTTTTCAAATGAGAACTGAAGTGGAGATCTATCGATACTTCCCCTGTGATCATGGCATTCCAAACGACGCCATCCTTGTCAATGATGCCATCAAACACTCTCCAAGCTTCCGCCATCTCCCCGCACTTCTCATACATCCCAATGAGAGCTGAGCCGACGAGCGATCTCACCTCAATCCCGTCCTCCAACCACCTACCAAGCACCAGGTCTCCGGGATCCTTGCACGCCACAAGCACGACCGCCACCGTCACCGCGTTGGCACCCACCGTCGGCGACCATTGCATGGAACGCCTGTGCATGACCTGCGAAGACAGGCGCAGGGCATCGAGCTGTGGCGAGGAGGAGGAAAGGCGTCGGGGCGGAGCGCGGTGCGGGGGAAGCCATGGGCATCGCCGGTGATGTTTAGCGCTCCGCTTCAGCTTATTTTAGGCCCACTTGTCTACAAAGCTTTACTTCACTTTGGAAAATACGTACAGTTCTTAGCGGGCCACCGCCATGACAACGCCGCCGCCAGCGTTCGTGTACCGGATTAGCACCGGGGAGGAGTGGGCGGAGCTTCAGCGCACCGGCGGCACGCTCGGCGGCGACCTCGACCGATCCACTGGCTGCTTTGTTGTTGCAGCTTTCTCTCTCTCTCATTCAAGACTAGAGGTAGAAGGAGACGGATACACTCGAGTTTCACCCGGCTGCACACACAGCCCCGTTTTTCTATTCCAGAGTACAAACTCAAACACAGCACCAATACGTGGTTTATATAGCCGGACTCACACCAGGCACACACTCACGCACGCCAGCCACTAACTGCATGGACTCTTCCTACGCATGCACTAACACACGTCCCAGCCGGCTTTATAGCTACAACACCCACGCACGCCCATGCTCCTGGAGATTCGGTCTTCTCCCAACGTGAGCACCTACTCATCCGTAATACCTGGTCACCGCCACGCATAGCCAGCGCCCGCTGCAACAAACCACTCTACGATAGTGAATCAAACGCACGCACACGGGCCATACACTGCCCATACACACACGCCATGCTGCTGCATCCCGCATGTCATGCTCGTCCCGCGCGCCATCAACGTGCCCGACGAGCCCGACGACACTAGTGTGTCCCGTTCGTCCCGTGTGCATCCGTCGCGCCCGACGAGCCCGACCACATACGCGGTGGCTTATTCCAACATGCTTTCACCTCAGCGACCTCGCCCAGGTACCCTCGGCTACAGAAAACCTCTTCGATTCCTTCCGTCCTTTACCCCCATCCTCTCCAGATCTCTCGGTTTTGTGAGATCTCCGCTACAGATTCTAGTGTAGATGTTGTTCTGTCTGATTTGTTAGTAGATTTCTCCCTGTATTGCTTGATGTGTCGAGGTTTGGGGCTTATTGCCTGATTATGCCCAATAATCCATGCCAGATGTCTTTTCTGAGTGAATCTTTCAGTTTATTTAGATTAGACTGGTACTACCGGGTAAGTTATATTGATCCGTAATACACGAGCAAGCTGTTGAACAATGATTCATGAAACGAGATGTAGATCAATGCTACTACTAAATAGAACGTTTGGCATTACGGCATACTATACCAACAGGAAATCACATTCAGCAAATTTCTTCTATTAAGGAATTAAATCTGAAAACGATGCGTTCTTAGGCCGTGTTTTTGTGCAAAGGGACAAACTCACCAATATACTCTATATACGACACTGGTTTGGAGATGTTTTACTTATTCACATGATACATGATATTCCCCTTCACACTATTGAACTGTGTTTTGCTATAAAAACACACACTCTTGAACTGTCACACATCTTTAGTTGTTGTAATATATGTTTCTTGAGCACTGACTTCTACTGTACCAGCTTCAGTGGAACCGAG